TCCTTTGAAAACAAACCCAGGCTTTCCTTTTATGAAGACTTCCCAAATTACGTCAATCCACAAAGAACCCTCTCTTCTCTCATTATGTAAAGCAATGTCAACCACACATTTTTACAAAATCATATTGTTTACTGTGTTGTGATTTAACCATTTCATGTGGCTATATCTTATCCTGCCAATGGAAATGTAAACCATGGAAACAGGGAATCTATTATATACATTTTTGTATTGCTTACAGTGTCTGCCTCTTAATATATAAATAATAGTTAAGTAATTACTTGTAGACTTTAATCTAAATGGCTTTAATGAACATTTTATACATAGAAGGAGAAATGTAACAGCAGCCCATCTCTTCAGGAGGGAGGAAATCACCCACCATCACTCATGTAAACAGTAAATAAGTGAATAGTTGTGACTTTAGCTTAGAGGCCAGAGTAGGGCATAGAGGTGAAGGGCGTACGCTTCGGGGTCTGGCAGATGTGTGCCTCAATCCTAGAACCTGCCACCTAATAGCTATGTGTCCCGAGCAGGTTACTCTGAGGCTGAGAGGGATTAGATAAATGTAGCTCACTATCATGCATATAATAAACAGTAGAATCAGGAAATCAACTTTCACCTCTTTGACTCCAAATTCCATGCTTTTTTCAATACTCTCCAGGCTGATAACAAGGCTAAAGATGACTGAGGTCACATGCCAGAATAATTAGGAAATTCCTAAACAGAACCCAAGAAGCCACTGAAAATACATACGAGCAACATGTAATAAATTCTACTTAAGCAGAGCTACAAAATCACGTGTGGATTTGCTAAGTGATGGAGACCTAAATCATCAAAGTATTAATAGCTTCGAACTCCAAAATGAACTGGAAAGCAATAATCCTCCTTCAAAACTTTTGAGATCTACATCTATCCCAAAAAATACAAAATTTAAACATGACATATCTATGTAGTTGAAACAGACCTAAAAACCAGTGTCCAGAATAATTCCCGCATTTCCTCTGTAAGCTATTATACTGGTCCTGGCCCCTTGAATGATCGTGTTCTAGAGTTGTATCCATGGCATCTTCTCTCTTCCAATAGCAAGTCGTATACTCTTCCTAGGTAACTTTATCCACACCAGAGGGTTCAGCCTACTCCCAAATCTCCATTATCTACTCCCCACAACTACATTTTCAACTGAGATTTCTGACAGTTAATAAGTTAGCAAACTTATTTGGCCTCCAGGCCAAATCTGGCCCATCATCCAGCCTAACACCTGTTTTTAGTAAATAAAATTTTATATGCATAGAAATACAGCCATACTCATTTATTTACATACTGTCTGCAGCAGAGATGAGTGATAGAGACGTACAGTCCAAAAATATTTGAACTATATTCTGATAAAGCCAAAAATATTTACTATCTGTCCGTTCTCATACAGTTTGCCAGTCGCTAGCCTATCACATCCATCTTCCTTTCTTCTCATCTTAACCACTTACTTAACCCTCCTTGATGATCAACCTTTGGCTGACGCTGCTCTGAGAAGCCCCTTGACATTGCTCTCCACTCACAGCAGAGCTAAGCTTCTGTAGCTGTTATTTTCCCTCCCACAGCACCCCTCACAGTACTATAACTGCTGCGTTTCTTATTTGACTCTTTCACACGATGCATCCATCCCTATAGCCATTATCCTCAAGACATGCTACAAAAATTTCTTCCCTTGATCCAAACCACAAGTATGTGCAGAAGTTGGGTTAAGACCTTAATCTAGGGGTCAGCAAACGTGCAGGGAAAATTGTCTCTGGCTCAGACACACAACTCTGTCATTACAGCATGGAAGCAGCTATCTCCTAAATGAACAGGCATGTTTATATCCCGCTAAAACTTCACTTACAAAACAGGCAGCAGGCTGGGTGTGGCCTCTGGCCTATAGTTTGCCTGTTCCTGCCTCAATCCCATTGGCTAGAAATTACTTCTATCGATCCCAGCTAAGAATATTACCTCCTTCCAAATTTACCAAAAGACTGCTGTGTAAATTGCTGACATCATACCAATTCTCTGTAGTTTGCTGAAAGTTCCAGTGGCAATGGAGCAAATGTTGAAACAGAACACTTTCCCCAGACTTACTTAGAGGGTTTATTGTCAGCAGCATGCCTCAGGTTCCATGTACCTGGAGGTCTCTATAATCAGCATATCATAAAGACAATAATTTATTAAGGTAAGTTACTCTGAAAAAAAAAGTTTCAAGGGGCATCTCAAAATAAGTACTTACAATTTTGTTGGTAAGTAGGCTGCAGTGTCATCTTTATTTCTGATAATGTCATTACATTTCTCAAGTGTTTGAAAAACAGTGAAAGTATCCCCAATGCTATAAAGGGCTGCAAGATTTTTAGCTAACAATTTTCGTGTAGGTGGTCCAGGTGAGCTACTTATTAATCCAGTTAATTGTTCAACAAGTTTCTTCTGTTTTTCCTTTACATCAGTCTGTTATTAAAAAAAATAAAGAACATGATCAGTTTCTTTCTTATATGTACTTTGGTTGCCTTTTAGTAAAAATAAGAAAAACTTAACAGTTAAGGCACTCTAATAATTAAAATCTAGACTACACTGGGCATAACACCATAAATGGGAATTTTCAAGAAAAGGAAGAGTTCAATAAGAAATGAACCATTCTTTGCTAGATTAAATACTCTCCTCCATTCCCCTCCAATGCCAAAGAGTTAGCTGCCAATAAAAGTGACTACTATATCCAAAGTTTCCACATCAACTTAAAGAAACAAACCAACAGTGTAAGGATGTAAAATATTGGGCATATGGACAACTGACGTCTTAGAACCCAGATGGGCTCCCCTTTAAAAGCCAAGTCAGTAGGCCACTAAGTTATAGATCAGTGAAGGGAATCAAAAGAAACTCTGAAGAGTCCTACCCAATAGAAAAAAATATTCAGATCTACCCATAATCAATACTGAAAATTCATTCATTCATTCATTCATTCATTCATTCAAGAAATACTACTATGAACTTATTACACGCCATACACTAGTGAAGCAGTGCCTAGAAATGGAGGGAATGATTGAGGGCCTAAGAAGCTGTAGGACTCCCACATCTCACTCCGCCATTCTGGACTTAGGGAGCTCAGGCACAGCTGTGGGCTACGAAAACTACCGAAAACAGGGGAATTAAGTGACAGTTTGCATACTGGACGTTGAAGTCCCCAGCCTTCTCCCACCATTCCTAGAACCTAGACAGCTAGTCACGTACCTGAGGACACTAGAGTAGAAAAGTCTCTACTGGGGAATGATGAGCCAAGAACCTAAGATACTAGCGTCCACGGTTCCTCGAAGAACCCAACTAGCCTACAGTGAAGCACACTTCACCCTGCCCAGAAAACTTTTCACTACTCATTCTTCAATTTGAGAAGACAGCCAAAGAACATCAGATGTTTGAGGAAAGCATCTAATTTTAAAGACAGAAAATGAAAAGCAAAGTGGATGAAAGACACTAAGCAGGAAGAAGAAAACAGAAAGTAAGAAAAGTCTATTATTTACTCCTCCGAGAGGTAAATGAAGATATTGGGACTGCTAGGCAGCACTGAGTGACCACTTGAAGTTGGAGATAATGAATCTAAAGTCACATAGTCACGTTTTTCTCCAGTCACATTCAGCTATCCAGGTAGAGACATGAGATGGGCAACAAGATTGATTTAAAGGAGGTTTGGGTATTGCCACAGAATAGAAAAAGGACAGACAAGAAATTCCTATCACAGTGCAATATTCTCCAGTTCCATAAGTGACCCATGACCTTTCCAAAATATAGTGTTTTCTCATAAATCACGAACACATAATACCCTTGATTATGTTAACACAACTGGAAAAAATGTAACATACCTTGTTGGCAGCAACCAAGACTTTATCAAGAAATCGCAACCATTCAAAGATAAAAACTGGTCTCTTTGCTTCAGTGATTTGAGCCAAAGCGTCTTCGTTTAGCAATAAACTGTGGGCTAACTCCATTACTGAAGTTTTAAATTCACACCTTAAAATAACAAATTAAAATACACAAAATGTTTTTAACGTTAAAAGTCGAGCTAATGAATGCAATCACTAAGAAATGAAATGTTAGGCTTTACTTCTCATCTCATTTGGAGGAACCTTACATAATTTCTTTGAAGCAAAACCTGACAGCTGAAATTTCAAAGGACAAGGGTACAAAAAAAAAAAAGAAAGAAAAATGGGGTAGAAAAATTAAAATAAATACTGCAAATAAGGCATTATTCCAGAAGAAATGTGTCTAGTAAAACATATGTAATTAATCCATTCCATAAAATGGAAAACTGAAGCACCAAGATCAACCGAACACCAGACGGGCCTGACAACCCAGCCCCCTTTTCTCTAGCCCACTTCTGGGTGCATAGCACCCTTACCCCTCCCCTGTTGTACCTAGCCCAGGAGTACATCAGAACGTCTCAGCATGAATGTCCCACACTGGGACTCTCTTAAGTGATTTTCCTACAGGGAAGGGTTGAGGGCAGGCAGTTCCCTGGGGTCGAAGCTTCAGTGACAACCCCCGGCGGTCCGAGAACGCCGGCTGCGCGCGCTGTGGGTCTGGATTAACAAGACCACTCCAAGGACCACAGCGCAGCGCCGGGCCTGCAGAAATGCAAGAGGCCGCCGCGGGCCTAGGCAATCACTCCAGCTGTCAACCCCAGGAGGCGAGGGCTCGGAATCGAGCCCTGGTCTTGAAAGGGGAAAATGTTCATTAGGAACTTGAATTTCCTCCCCAGCCCTCTGAAAACGTATGGGGGGGTGGGGGTCAGGGCTGTGTATGCGCGTCAATGTACATGCTTTGGCGGCGAATCGGGCGGCCTCACCTCCTAGGCTGGCAGGGACCGATCAGCTGCGAGCTCCGAAGCCAGAAGCAGCCGCCAAGCGGCCCGGATGCCCCGCCTCCCGCATTCAAGCCAGCAGGAAACGAGGGGAGAGCGCGTGCGCGGAAGGTGGTCAAGCGCAAGCGTACTCACGTTGTCCTCCTAGCCCCGCCTGCCACAGGTTTCCAATTGATTCTGCTCAACGAAACTCGGGTTAGGGCCGAGGCCCAGAAGTCCTGAGCTGGTGGGGAACGTCTACGCTGCGCGCACGTTCGCTAGCGGGCCCCGGGAAAGCACAGCTGCCAGGTAAGGCGCGGGAGACGCCGTTTGGGATGATCAAGGGCGGCGATCTGTGTGCTGGTTGTGACTACCCCATCACACCATCACCCACATTCCCACCTGTGGGTGGTCTCGTCTGTGGGAAGCTTGCAGCCGGGAGGGTCGCGAGAGGGTAGGGATCAGCGGTCCCTGAGGGGAGTGTTTGAGACTGAGGCGTTTCTTGTCACCTTTCTGCTGTAAGTCTAACTACTTCGCCCATCCACTAGGATGTGTAGTGGGATTCCCGATGTGTCTAAAGCAGCACTCTTGTTGCCAACGCCCTGCCCTCTGCCACAAAACAAAGCAAAACCAGCTACTACGGTCTAACGCCTCTCAAAAACTGGTAACTCCCTTGTACCGGGTGTTTGGACCAAAAGCCGTGGAATAATCCTTGACATCACCTCCAATCCATTAGCAAATCTTGTTAGCTCTATCTTCAAAATGTACCTGGCATGCGACCCCTTACCGCTTGCACTGCTGTCATTGTGGTCCACAAACCACCGTCATCTCTGCCTGGATTATCGCCTTGTGAAATTTATCCTATGGTTGATGGGAGTGGATGATGCTAAAGTATGTTGTACCCATAAAAAGGGAGCTTTAAAAAGAATCTGTAACCCCCATGCAGATCTGCCTAGCGCTTTGCAGTGGTTCACTTAAAGATAACCTAATCCTCTTTGCAGTAGCAAGGAAGGGCCTTGAGACCTAGATTCTTCGTGGTGCTGAGCAAGTCATTTAGCCATACTGAGCCTTAATTACTCAAGCTAGAAAGCGGGACTATGTTCTTACCTTGTAGAATTGTTAATGATAATTAAATGAAGAATCTGAGGTTTAGAGACAGTGGGTGAATTACCACAAATGCTGTATATAATCTTCCACACTTTAAATGTATTATATTATAATAAAAAGAAAAATAGGCAAAACTAAACTGTAATGTTTAAGGATGTACATGTGGATGATGAAACTATAAACAAATGGGGGTAGGATTAGAAGGGGTGGGATTGGAAGGCTCCTGGGGTAGCTAACAAGGTCTAACTTCTGATATGGATGATGGTTTGTATTATCTTTTGCTGTGCAACAAATTACTCCAAAATTTAACAGCTCAAATACCTATAATCATTTATTACCTCACAGTTTCTGTGGGTCAGGAATTTGTTACTGGTTTAGCATAGCTCAGACTTTCTTAAGAAGCTCTTGTGAAGAAGCCAGCCCAGGCTGAGTGATTTGAAGTCTTGACCGATGCTAGAGGATCCATGTCCAAGGTAGCTCACTCATGTAGCTCCCCAACTTGTGCTGGTTGTGGACAGGAGGTCTCAGTTCCTCCCATGTGGACCTCTCCATAGAGATGCATGTCCTCCCTACATGACAGCTGACTTCCTCAGAGTGAATAATCTAACTTCAGCATTAGAGTGATCTAACTAAGAGCTGTATGTAGTGTCTTTTATGACCAACAAGTCATACTCCATCATTTCCACAATATTCTGTTGATTACACAGCTTAGTCCTGTTTACTGTGGAAGGAAGGAGACTACACAAGGACATTGAAAACCAAGAAGCAGGAACCATTGGGGGCCATCTTGGAGGCTACCACATGGTTACAAGAGTATTTGCCTCACAATACTTCATTAAGCTGTACAATTTATGTGGTTTTCAGTAGATGATATATGTACATCAGGGTATTTAAAAATATAAGATATGATGACAGTAAAAAATGTCATGACAAAATTATTAAAAACTTTCTAATAATTGCTAAGCATTAAGAATTTATGTCTGTGACAGTGGTAGGCAGCGGGGATATAGGGGACTTGTCTTTGTGGTTTACAGCCTAGTTGGGATGATATACATGAAAAATACTAAAAACTAGTACAATAGTACCTTTTTCATCCAGTGTAATTGTTTAGACTCTCAGCTGCAGTTGACAGAATCCCTACTCAAACGAGCTTAATTAATGAAGAAATGTATTAGCCCATATAGCTGGGAAGAATGCTAGATTACAGCATTCTTCTAGATTACAGCTCATCAAAGAAAGAGCTAAGGAATCAGGGTCTTAGGAACAAGGGTTGGAGACTCATTGCTTTTGGACCTTTGTCCATTTTCTCTGTCTGGCTTCATTCTGCAGAGCAAGATCTCTTCATATGGTCAAGAAGATGGCTTTCCACAGCCCAGCTTTACCTACTTCCAGTTCAGAAACCCCAGTGAAAAGAGTTTCTTTCCCCACAATTCATATATTTATATCATGTAAGGAAAGAAATTCTTCTTTGCCCTGGTTGGGTCATCCCCACCACCCCTGCTGTGGGAACATAAGGTACCATAATTGGCCGTCTTGTGCCCTAGGGAGTATGGAGCACTGAGACTGCCATCCTCCACTAGAACCACATGGAGGGCTGGGTTACCAAAGGGAAGCATTAACATCACCCGGGAGCCTGTTAGAAATGCCTAACTCAGGCTCCAGCTCAGAATCAGGCTTTTAAGAAGGTTGTGGGGCAATTCATATACACCATGAATTTGAAATGCACTTTTCTAGGTAATTATTTTAACCCTGTATGGACCAACAATTACATGATTTTAGCTATTTTGGATGGAAGCTCTCAAGAATGTCTTCATGTAAGTGAGGATTTGAACTGCATCAAGTCCCAGATGAGCAGCTTGAATATAAAGTGCTGTAGAGAGAGGCCTGGCGTGGTCAGGGCAGGTTCTTATGAAGGTTCTTATCTAGGCCTAGGAGGAAGGCAGTGCCTGTGGTATGTGCAGAGAGCAAGGAGAACCCCATGCGACTTGAATAATGATCGTAAAGGAGGGTCAGTGGTCAGATGATGAAGGACTCCCGCTACAGTGTTAAAGTAACTGGTTCTCCACTGCCTACGGGGTCCAGTTTATTGAAGGGTTTGAAACAGGTAAGTAATATGACCTGACCTGTGTTTTTAAAAAAGCACTCCGGAGAGGGTGTAGAGGATGGATTAGAAGAGGAGAAGCCAAAGGCAATGAGGCCAATTGGGAGGCAGTTGTAACAGTATGGGTGAGAAAGAAATGCCTGAACTAAAGCAGTGGTCACCACTATAGGCAAAAATGCCTATGAGGAATATTATAGAGGAAAAAGTGACAGAGGTTTTTAAGAGGTCAGGAATGGGTAGCTAGCAGTGACATTAATTGGGAAATATAGGGGATGAAGGAGTTTGGAGTGCAAGAGAACCAGTTGTTTGGGTTGTTGGGTTTGAGAGCTCCTCACAGAAAAATGTCAGAAGGGCACTTGAATGTGGAGTAGAGCTCTGGAGAAAGGTCACAGCTGGGGATACAGAAAGTTTATTTCCATTTTGGTAAACTAAAAAAATAGTAATTGTTACTTTATCCTGTTTGATTTGTAGATACTTTTGTCATATGAAATTGAACATGGCAGAAGAAGAGGACTATATGTCTGATTCCTTCATTAATGTCCAGTAAGTAAATGTGTGCATTTCTTGTAATGATATGTACTCGACATTAATGTAGACTCTTAAGCAATGACACTAATTGTAAATGTGAGGTTCGAAAGTTAGTCGTATTGCTTTATGGAAACACTGTCTACGTGCCCATACAAAGATACTAGGAGCATTTTTTTTTCTAATGCTAAGCATTTTACTTCTGCCCTAGATTGTTTTTATTACCTTTTTCCAAAGAAATTTACCCTTTTTCTTTATTTTATCTTATTGTCTCTTCTAGCTACTGTTCACCTTTGTTCTTTATTATTGCCAACTGCCTAGAAATTTAGCCTGAACTTACTATTTGTAATTTCTTCAACTCTGTACTCTCTTTAGTTTCCTACAATCTGGCAACAGCCTTCATCACTTTTACTAAAACAGCTATTCTCGGAAGTCACTTTTAACTTTCTAATATTGATGATAACAAAAGTGATCAGGGGGCCGGCCGAGTGGCTCAGTTGATTAAGAGCTCGCTCAAGAGTTTGAGCTCTGAGCAACAGTGGTTCGGGTCAGCCCGAGCTGAGCAGCCGCGGAGCTGCCAACAGGTGGCGGGATGGNAAAAAAAAAAAAAAAAAAAAAAAAAAGTGATCAGGGAGGTAGCACTGGAAAACTTGGTAGTGTCAAGTAAGTATCAAAGTCATGAGAAAACTTCACGTCCTCACCTAAAATAACCCTTCCCCTTATTCTTCAGAGAAGATATCAGACCAGGATTGCCAATGTTGAGGCAAATTCGAGAAGCCCGCCGAAAAGAAGAAAAGCAGCAGGAAGCTAATTTGAAAAATAGGCAGAAGAGTTTAAAGGAAGAAGAACAAGAAAGACGTGACATTGGGTTGAAGAACGCACTAGGCTGTGAAAACAAAGGGTTTGCTCTGCTCCAGAAGATGGGCTATAAAAGTGGCCAGGCCCTTGGCAAGAGTGGTAAGTCACATCTGGAAACAGGTGTTCCTGACCACCTCATGGTGATTTATCAGTGTGTACCAGAGATGGCTCTTTAGTCTTTATCCATCTACACAGAAATGAAAAGAGCTTAAGCTTCTCAGTCTCTCATGTGCTCACAAACGTTATAGAGAACTTTCATTTTCCCACATCCGCTTTAGACAACTGTGTGTCATCAATAGCTGCTTATCAGCCCAGCTCAGCCTTGAAGGCATTAACAGCTAGGATGGATGAAGTTTACAATGGAGGCTGCAGCTAAGAATGGTGACAAGAGAAGAGTTGGGAAGTACAATGACCAAAGGATAATAAAGCAACGTTAAAGATGATGTCTGGCCTCTGCCCTGTTTGCAGTGTGCCTGTGACAGCTGCCCGAGTGACCAGCCAGTTAGAGAAGCTCCATTCTCACCTCTCTATTTAAGGAAGTGAGACTGTTTATTAAGATATAGAGGCCATATATTTATAGTAGCTTCTGTAAGCTGTTTTTCTTTTCTTCTCTCCTTTATTGTAATTGATTTGATCTTCACCTAGCAAGGCTGTCACCCTCTTGGACATATAATATCAGTTTTCCACTTCTTAAAACCCTACCTTCAGGGGATATACTGTGGGGCAGCCTTATTGGGAACCAGGTATTCAAAAGGAGATAGTTGATTAGAGTATTGATTGATGTTCAGATTTCAGTTTGAATATTATTGAAACAGGAACCGGTATGTATGGAACATTGTAAAGTTGCATACTGTGCTTACCTGTAGTTTGAGGAAGAATTTCTAAAGTAGTTTGTGTTTTGTTCTCTTTTTTTTAGGAGATGGTATTGTTGAACCAATTCCCCTCAATGTCAAAACAGGTATCTATTTTTAGAGCTATTTATCAATAATAATAACTTATGCTTAGATCTAGCACATATATTTGCTTAATAAATACATTTTTTATGATGGTGCTGTTACAGTTCTTATGATAGGAAGCCCTCAGTAAAATGTTTCTTAGTTAAACTTCTAAACCTTTTAAACTGAAAACAAAAATAAGTTTTAGTGAGTATAAGATAAAATTTAGATCATAAAAATATGGGGGGAAATTGTTGTAACCATATAAAAACGCAAAGGTATTTTTGTCAATTGAAATGTCCTAAAAGTATTCTGAGACAGATTTATCCATTAGATGTTTTTTTCTCTATATCTTGGATGAATTAAAGAGAAAAATATATATTTTATTTGTTCATCATATTTATATGAAAGTGTGACAGTTGGTATTGTTTTCCAAATTAAAAAAAATTGTATAGTATTACTATCTTATTAGATCAGACTAATGACCTCAAATTTTGTTTGGGTTTAAAAAAAAAGTCTCTAATGTTTTCTTCTGTCATTCTTGTCAAGTGATTTTGAGTGATTGTACTGAAATTAGAATTGCATTTAATTGGTAAATATTTAAATTGTCATGTTTTGAAGTATAAAGCTAGTAAGTTTCTCATCCGAGTTGTCTGTTCGGACAGGGAAAAGTGGCATTGGTCATGAGGCATTATTAAAGCGGAAAGCAGAGGAAAAATTAGAAAGCTACAGAAGGAAGGTTCACATGAAAAACCAAACTGAAGAAAGAGCTGCAGAACAGTTTCGGTAAAACTTTGTATCTGAGCTGCTTTGGGTTTTATCTTTTCTCCATTGTGATATGTTTACTGGCATTTGGCATATAAAATGGTTAAAGAGAGTACAGACCTTCAATGCGCTATCTTTTTTCTTTCATTTAGAATGCGACTTAAAAATAAGCAAGATGAAATGAAACTAGAAGGCGACCTTAGAAGAAGCCAGCGAGCCTGTCAACAACTGGATACTCAGAAGGCAAGCCTCTTACCTGCTTTCCGTTTGGTAGCAAAGTGCTTTGGCACCCAGTATGATTTGCTATGTATTTATATTTTAAAAAACAAAACACTCCAAGCCTGGTGTATTCAGCCTTCTATCCTTTAAAGCTTTCTTTTAGCGTGTACTACTGACCTGTAATAACTGATAATGACTTGTTCACTGCAGGAAGCTGAGTAGTCTGAATTATCCAGTAAGGGTTAAATAACATTTTTACATTAAATTGTTCTCCGCTTATTTGAATATTGGTTACTCAGAGCCACTATGTGTGGAAATTCTATTCACCGGAATATTTGATCAACTAGAATAGCCTATTCTCGGTACATATTCAGTACCTCATGTCCTTTACTAGTAAGGTCATGGTGGAATACTATCTATTTCAGACTTGAATGATTTTTAAAATTATGTCTTTGCTTTTATTTTTATTTTGCTTTTATTTTTTATTGTGATGGTTCAAAGTAAAATGACTTCATTTAAAGTCTCAACCAAGTTCATTAAATTTCCCTCATACATAAATAGACTGCTGGAAGCAATCTCTTATTTTTCTATATTTCCACAGCACTTTATTTTGAATGTATGTCATGACACTTAAGATTTCCTAGCTTATGTGTATTGTATTATACCCATTAAGTTCTTTATGCCTGTACTTATTTTCCCTAATAGACTGTCAGCAACTTGGAGACAATATTCTAATTGGGTTTTGCATCCCCAGAGTTCATAGTAGAGTTCCTTAGTCTTGAAGGAACACTCAGTAAATATTTAGTTGGAAGAATGAATTTATGTTGATGAACATTCTTGTGGTAGTCTTATGTGTGCTATGTTTAATTGGGAATTATTCCATATTTTCAGAATATTCAGGTTCCCAGGGAGGCCTGGTACTGGTTGAGTCCTGAAGAAGAGACAGAAGAAGAAGAAGAGGAAGAGGAAGAGGAAGAAAAAGAACAAGATGAAGATGAATATAAGAGTGAAGATTTAAGTGTATGTGATGGCCCAGTTCCTTGAGCAGGGTGTCTCAGCCTTGGCACTACTAACATGTGAGCTGGGTGACTAGTGCAGTGCCATTCTGTGCATTGTAAGATACCTGGCAGCCCCCCTGGCCTCCACCCAGCAGATGCCAGTTGCACTTCCCCTTTGTGACATCCAAAACTGTCTCCAGACTTTGCTAAATGTCATCTGAGGGGGAAAAAAATCACCCCTAGTTGAGAACCACTGCATTATAGGTTTTCTTTTTTATTTATCCCAAATCAAAACTTCATATAATTTTTCCCTTTAGCTTCAGTTTACCCTCTCACCTCAGCTTGATGGATTAGCTGCAAATATAAAATTATTTTCATTTCTACCGTGTTTCCTATTAAGCTTGTGGAAGTGATTGTAATGAGTACCTCTCTCTCCCATCCCATAAACAAAACAAAGCAAACACAAACAAAATTCAAAGGAAATGGACATTATTCAAGAAAGGAATACACATTTCTGTGGTTACTTGTGTATAAGAGTTTTGTAGGAAACATTCACAGTTTGAAAAACCTATGTTGCACTTAACTGGGAGACCATTGGTCAGAACTTTAATGGCAAAGGGAGGTAACGTTCACCGTCATTCCACTGGGGGAGGTAGATTCTTTGAAACTGGAAGTGGTCTTTAAAGGATCCTGATCCTAACAGAGCTAGTCGAAATCTACTTTCTGAATGTTAACAGGTGGTCTCTGTGGTGTCTGGCAGACTTATGAAAATACCAGGGTGCCTGGCAAACGGGAACATGTTCTAATATATTCTGCCTTTGACCCCTGTCCTAACTGGTTGAGAGTCAGTAGCAGAAGGTTTATGGCCTTGGCTAATTCAGCATGGCTAATTCAGAAAAGCAAGATTTTATTCATTGTGAACCATTAATGTGCTTGTGTCCTGTATCTAGGTCCTGGACAAGTTACAAATACTGACTAGTTATTTAAGAGAAGAACACCTGTATTGTATTTGGTGTGGAACAGCCTATGAAGGTAAGAAAATACTGGAAACATTTTTTGAAATATTGAATACAAATGCTCTTTGATTTTAACTTTAATTTTTTTATAAAAGTCACCTTTCCCATAGACAATGGAAATTTCTTATTCCATTCAAATGGTAATGTGGAATCAAGGTCTTAAAAAAATAGTGAATATGGAAATAATTGAGGCCTTATTAAAGGTATTTTTTAACTTTTCAGAAACGGAATGTGTAGAAGGGAATTTTTCAGTCTTTTATTTCAAAAGAGAATTTTGAATCCCTTAAGGATGATGAGTTTTTTTATGCTTTATTTTTAAATATTCTTTCTCCAGCTACAGATATTTAATTTAAAAGATATATTAAATTTTTAGAACTAATTTTTATATAGTTAGATTGACTATTGTCCCTGAACCATAAAAATCAGCATGTAAAAATTCATTCAGTTTTTTTTGGTTTGTTTTTTAATTATAAGAAAAGAAATGGTTTAAAACTTACCATATGTCTTTTGGAACCAAATACTTTCCTCCTCACACATTTTCCCATGTTGGCTTTATTAACTTAAATTTAAGGACTTTGTACTTAAGACTGAAGAATATTTGGTTATTGTTGTTATTATCTTTTCCTGGTTTGTTTAGCAGAGTAAGTAGCAAACACAGCTACAAAATCCATGTTAGGTTGAAATAATTTGCTAGAATAGTTTACTATTCAAATTGTATTAATCTTTTCTTTTCCTCACATAACTTACAGATAAAGAAGACCTGTCTTCCAATTGCCCAGGACCAACTTCTGCAGATCATGACTAAGATTATTCTCAATAAAGTAAAAACGTGGACAATGCTATTGTTCCCACCCAAAGATAGACACTTGAGCAGTTAGAATTCCCAGATTTTTGATGTCAGTAAAGAAAAAGAGCCTTTGTATGTTTTGTTCTTTTTGTACTTTGTACTTTAGAATATAATTGTTCACTGATGTAAAAAAAAATGATGGAATTCTATTTCAGAATACAAGTATTATAGAGGTGGGCCATTACAATTTATGACTCTATTGTGATGCTCATGATGTTTAAGGACACCATAGGTAACTCCCTTATCCCCCTCTTCACTTTGGAAGAAATTGAGAAATAAGACATGGGAATCAGAGAGAGAGATCAAAATATCAGCTCTATTGTCAATGAAGCTGAAATAGAGAGCAAAGCTGACTTGTTCTCCAGTCAGACTCCCTAATATGTCTCCCTGGTTGCAGAGAACTGCACACCTCTGCCCTGTAGGGGACACAGCTCATCTTTGCTTTCTGAGACGAGTTAGCTTTCACGGTCAGAGAATCCACCAGGGGCTGGGCGGTACATGCTAGCTTCCTTCTCCCAACATCACTCATCAGATAAGAAACTTCTCTGTTGAGCGGGAATGAATGAGGGTTCACAGAGCTTGTTCGCACACTTCTCAGAGCTCACTGCTTTAAAACAGACCATTCCATTGCTGTGTAGCTCTAAGTGATTTTAAAGTTCTTTTTCTGTCTTAAGCTGAAATCTGCTTCCATGTAATTTAACCATTTGGTTAAAGACATACTGTGGCACACTTCTAGGGAGCTCGATCCAAGGCTGAGCATCAAAATCATGAACTTTTTAAAAAAAGTTCACAAGCTCAGGTGCCTACCCTAATGATTTTGATTCAGCTAATCTAGGATATTTTCTGGATATCTATTTATTTTAAATTTCTAGTAAGTCTGATAAGCACCTGTGGATGGGAACTAGTGCTGTAGGTATAATATAGAGCATTACTGTGCTTGGAATAGGCTTACGACCTCACTGTACAGTTTTACATCTCACCTTTCAGTAGCACTGAGCAAGAGATCAACCTCTTCCTTTTATTAGAAACAGCATACATGAGAACGTGGCAATAGCTAACCTCCACTAGCACTAGTTAGCCTCTGACCTAATATGACCTAATTCACTTGTTTTTTAGTTTAACTTGGGGAGTTTAAAAAATGATAATACAAGGGTCCCACCCCTAGAGATTCTGATGTAATTGGTCACTGTGGCCTTGATTCTAAGATGCAGCAGAACTTGCAAACCACTAACCTAGTTAACTTCTGGGCCTCAGTTCTTCATCTAGAAAATGAATCATTATTTTTGTGACCATAAATATATATATAAAATATTGGGGCTTATATAGTTGGATAATACTGTTTAATATTGTTTCATTTAAAAAATAATAAAATGATATTAATAGTGAAAACAAAGGAGAACATCTTTCCCTTGGAACTACGGTCTGATCGTTTCCTGTCATTTCAGCCAACATACCGACATTCCTTCGGTCAGTTCCAAAGCCATGTGGATGGTTTCACATGAAATGGAGTCTGGAGTTGCCTTCCTTTTCTCCTCTTACTGACTCTGGAGACAACCCACCACGTTCCCAGTGGCCTACAATATTTTGAGTATGTTTATGAACAATTATGCTGAGAATGGTAATGACCTTGATGGAGCCCATGATTCCCCCCGAGTTGTGGTCTGCATTTCCAGGCCAACGGCTAGAACTACACCTACCTTGGAAAGTGGGAGACATCCCTCCATTCTTATCCATCAGTAGTTAAAAATAAAGGCTTTCAATATGAGTAAAAAAATTTTTATTCACATAGGCCTTTTCTGACTTCATTACTAGACAATAATGAAAACCAAAAGAAGCAGAACATTGAATTTGTTTTAATTTGCTTTAGAACATTTATGTGAAATTTGAAACATAAATCTTAACATGTTACATCATTTACTTTTGTTTATATTGTGTTATGTTTATTTTCAAAGTCCCACCTAGCATTTCTAAAATGTTTCATTTTCCTTATAAATCCAAAATACTGGAGCTTCAAAAATTCAAAGACTTCAATGTACCAAATTGATTCACCTTACATACTTTGTCATTTTCCAAACATTTAATTGTTGAAATTTTAAAGTGAACATTATTTAGTACCAGGTACATTTTGTAAGATTGAGAATATGACATCAATACTTATATTCACTATCAATTCAGAAGTATTCACAGAGCTCCTTCTGTAAGCAGGGCAGTGTACTCGCTACCTTGGGGTATACAGAAAGGAGTGCCTGTCCCTGCTTTCCAGATAGTCACAGTATGAGGTTGACAGCCATGTTGGAATAACAGAGCTTCAAGGCAAACTGGAAAGCACAATACTGAGGTAACCGAACAATGCGAGTATGAGGGATAAGTTTCCTTCTAAGTGGGTGATGGAGGAACACTGGAAGTAACACTGAATTTGGGTTCCGGACATAACTTTGATATGCAAAATAAGGAGGAAGGAGTTACAACATGACCCATCATTTTCCCTCTTAGGTATATACCCAGGAGAAATGGAAACATGTCCACATAAAACCTGTATACGAATATTCATAGCAGCATTGTTCATAATAGCAGGAAAGAGGAAACAACCCAAATGTCCATCAACTAATGATTAAATAAAGTCTCATGTAGCCATATAATTGAAAATTATTTGGCAACGAAAGGAATGGAGTACTGGTCCATGCTACAACATGGGTGAACCTTAGAAACGTTACACCAAGTGAAAAAGACCACATGTTGTACGATTCCATTTAAATGAAATGTCCAGAACAGGCAGATCTATAGGGATATAAAATAGGTGAGCAATTGCCGAGAATTGGTGGAAGATGAGGAATGACCGCTAATGGGCTTGGGGCATCTTTTTGAGGTGACAAAAATGTTTTTAAATTGATCGTGGTGATGGTTGCACAACACTAAATATACTAACCACCATTGAATTATATACTTTAAATGGGTGGAATATATGGTATGTGAATTATCTCTCACTGAAGCTGCTCCTCAATAAAAGTTGAAGGGAATTTTAGGTAGAATCCATAGCAGAGAGCCATCAAGTGCCACAGCCTATTCAGGTAACACTGAGCCAACCAGTGTGGATTATGCAGGCAGGAGTGAATGTGTGTCGTGGAATGGGGGCCTCCAGAGGAGCTCAGCCCTGCCAACACCTTGACCTTAACCTAGGGAAACTCATGTCAGACTTCTGGCCTGCAAAACTGTAAGAGAAATAATATATGTTGTTTTAAGCCACCAAGTGTGTATGGTCATTTGTTAAAGCATCCATAGGAAACTAATACAGGTCTCAATCAAATTAACCCCTAAAGAGCCAGAGAAATATTTGAGAGAGATTTTATGTGCCTTACAGTTTTACCTATTACACTGTTTTTAGTTAACTGGAGTTTAAGCCAATAGTGGGGCCGCTGTACAGCTATCAAGTGTAGTCCCTTCATCTGAGACCATTCTGAGGGAATGTAGGATTGGCATAAGCCATAGTCACAGATTCAGAATCACAGACCTTAAGGACTGGATTAGTATCAAATAGGAAGACTGAATATTTAAATGGAGAGGTCTGCCATGCTTTGTTCCTCAGCGCTGTTTCCTCTGTATATCTCCCTTGGCAATCTCTTGAATTCAAAGTGAAGTATCAGGTTACTTCCAGATAACATACACATCCCTTCTCCTTAGTTCCCATCCCGCTTGTGACGCTCTCCATCTTCACCTGAATATCCTGGCACCACCCAAAAGTCAGCATCTCCAAATGAGATCCCACATTTTACCTCCCACCTCACCATTTTGAAAGATGCATGGTGGTCCTACTATTAGCTTAAATTCTAAGAACTGTGTGATAGGTAAAAGTGTGAAACAAAATCTCTCTCAAATATGTGTGCTCCGTGGTGGTGTTAATTTGATGGGAGGCCCGTTATTTCCTGTATTTCCTTTAATGGCATCATATTCCTGCCACTCACCTTCACACAAAACTGGAAGCAATACCTGATGTTTACCCCTTCCTGAATCTGCACATCCAGTTAGTTGCCAACTCCTCTTGGTTCAGTCCTCTCCTGTTATTCAGGTCGTCTTAGCCTCTTGGACCTCTGACCTTTCAAATATAGTCCCCTCCTGCTCCAACCCATTCTAAACACACAGTTTCCAAGTACCAGTTGGGTCACACCCCTGCTTAAAAAACACAAATCTTATTTGTCACCTTTGGAGGTTGCTAGGGTACTTACTCATTCTAAAAAATAATAACAAATATTTATCCCATCTTTCCCATTCAGTTTTAGAGAAAGTTCTTCTTTATAGAGCAATCACAGATGATAAATGCAAGAGGTTTAATAGAATGCAAAAATCACTATTTTGCAACCCCTAATGAAATAATGGATCCAGACAACATTCATCACTGGTTGCTAAAACCATTAGGTGAAAGATTGATGGGAAGTTTTGTAATAGATGATTTCACCACAACCCATCAATCAATCTTAAAATCACCCAAAGTGGAACAACCAGACATCAGTGATGCAAAATAAAGTATACAGCATCACCTATGGAGTATTCTTGAAAAAAAGTTTTGAACCAGAATCAAATCAAGTTTCTAGATCTAACTAGACACCATGGGAATACCATCAACCAGATCCTGAGTGGAGGAAATTCTACAGAATATATAATTCAGTTGTTTTCGCAAATAAATAGCAAGAGGAAGGAAACTAAAAATGGGTAAATGTTATAGAGTAAAAGAGACAGATCGACTTAATGCAATGTTGGATCCTGATTTAAACAATCTGCAGAAAGATATTTTGAGATAGGAAAACTGAATACAAGCAGAATTATATTTAATTATATGATATTTTAATTATAAGACATTTTATTTTGAGTGACAATGGTATTTTACTTTTGTTAAAATTAAAAATAGTTATCTGTTAGAGATGATTTTTAAATATTTACAAGTGAAATGATATACTGCCTTAAATTTGCTTTAAAGTACTCCACAAAAATTTTTTAAAAGGGGGTAGATATAATATCTATATACATCATATAAAGATATAAATATATCTTTCAAAATCTCTTTATGTGTGTGTGTGTGTGTGTGTGTGTGTGTGTGTGTGTGTGTATGTGTGTGCATTTTAATTTGCAAATAAGGTTCCTGGCTTTTGGCCCCTTCTCCTCTGATTAAAAGGATGCTTTTTATTTATTGTGATTTTGAGGCTGAGATAATATATATTTACAAATAAATAAAAGTTTCCAAGAGATGCTATATTTATTTCATAATAATATAAATTTTAAATGACAGAAGATACAAATAAGGCTACCTTCTTTTGAGTATAATACCCTTATTCATTAAATCCAGATAACACTGGTTTTTTAAAAAGATTTCTCTCCTCTCAGAAAAATTTCAAACCTACAGAAAAGGTCAAAGAATATTACAAGAAACAATTCTATACATGCCATCTAGATTTATCAATTGTTCAGCTGTTAACATTTTGCCACATTTGCTTTTTCTCTCTCTCCATATACACATTGACCTTAGCTGAACATTTGAAAATTGCAAATAGCATGCCACTTTACTCCTAGATATTTCTGCATGCATTGTCTAGGAATTAAACATTTTCCTATTTTCATGACCACAATATCATTATCACACCTAAGAAAATTAGCAATTATTCTGTGTTATCTAATATGCCATGCCCTTTCCCAAACTGTGCATTTGGTTTCCGCTTTACTCATCTCAGTCCCTTGCTGGAGTGTCACTTCAATCCCTGTGCTATGATATCTCAGTAGAAAGTGATTTCACCTCTCTAGATGGACTATTTTCTTACATTTAGCTACTAGCCTTCTAGCAGCACCATTATCATCACTTCAAAGTGTTTGTTATAATACATTTAAAATGTATTTAAGATAAAAAGAATCACTGTGCAGTAAACACTGGTGAACTCAATATCCAGTTTAAAAAAATAGTTAACTGTACCTTCATAATCCATTTCCCTACTCCACTCCTGTCCCTCCGCAGAGATAACCACTAGCAGAATTCAGTATTTCTCATAACTTTCCTTCCCTGAATTATTTTACCACATTTGCTCGGATTCCTAAACAAAATGATATCATTTAGCATGTTCTGGAACTTTATATAAATGGAATCATTCTGTATATATTTTCTGTAAACTGCTTTGTTGCTGAACATTATGTTCCCAAGGGATGTTCGTTTTTCACTGCTATATAGTATTCCAATGTGAATAAAATACAGTGTACATATCCATTCTTCTTGTGATGGACAGTTGTGTTGTTTTCTGTTCCTCTGACTTTTATAAACAGGATTTTTAGGAACATTCTTGTTCCTACGTATGTAGGAATGGAATTGATGGCTTTCACGGTATATACACATTTACCTTTACTAGATTGATACCAAACTGTTTTCCAAAGTGATTGTATATAACTTATCTTTTTATGATTACCATTTTCCTCCAACTGGCTTGTTAGCTATTTAAGACAGGGAAATATCTGTTTTCTTTTTTTTTACCTAGAAACAGTAGATACTTAATAAATATTTATTAATTGATTGATTCACTAATTGATATAAAAAAATAAGGGATTTTCCCCCCCATCTTCATAATAAGGAGATGAGCTGGGAAAAAAATCAAATGTAAAAATGTTTTTGAAGTTAAAAAATGAAAATCTTTCTGTAAATGTAATAAAAAATTAAGGGAAAAAATGAAAATAGCAGATAACTACCACTGATATTCCCTAGCAGATTTCAGACAGTTACAGGAAAATCAAACACCAAAAGCAGGATACTTTTTTGGAAAGGCTCTAATGTGTGTTTCGTTTCTTTTTCTCAGGAACATTCTTCCACTCCTTCAAAGTCTTAAGTATTTCAGATGTTTTAGGTCGTTTCTTGGGATCCTTTGAGAGTAATTTCAGTAGAAGAATATTCTGTAATGATATAGTAAGAGTCAATATGAAGAATTAAAACATTGAAATAAAACTTTAATTATTTTCAAGTGCTTACTTCTTTTTCATCAAATTTATCTGAGGGATTGCCATCCTTTAAATGTTGAAAAGTCTGAAAATAAAACATAGATATATTCATTAGGGAATTACTTACCTGGGAGGAAAAACACATTAGGGGTGAGCACTAAAGACTGGGGATACCCTAAATCTAGGATATTTCCAGATCTTTGGAAAGTCTCTTTAGCCAAGCAGCAAGGAGGACACCCCTCCCCCACCCCACCCTATCTAATAACCATCTCTAACACTACAACATATTGAAGTGTTAAGAGCATTATATGCATCATCTCCCTTCATCCTTTTTTGGAACCCTGTAGGACAGGTATTTTCATTTCCCCAGTTTTACAGAAGAGAAGGTTGTTGATGCCAGGTGAGTCCCCTTTACTGAGCTTTAGACTAGGCTATCCAGTTGGCTAATGTCTTTAGTGGCTCCCAAATGCCTACACAAGGAAGTTCACATTCTTGCCTTAACTGAGCCTCAACATGTTTTTCCAACCTCATCAACCACCACTTCCCTATAACTTATATACTCCAATAAAAATATCAGACACTGCCTCATATCCCCAAACACACTCTGCAAATTCCTGTCTCCATGCTGGAATTACCTTCTTTCTATTTTGGACTATCAGATGCCAACCAATCTTTCAGAGTACAGCTTTAATGCCTTCCCTCAGCTGGGAAGGTCCCCTCCTAATTGCTTCCATAAGACTGCATGCCTTTTCCCAAAACATGGAGAGCATTCTCATAGTATCTTCCCTTCTAGAATATAAGCTCCTTGCAAATAAGGCTTATTCACTTTTAAAATCCTTGTAGCACATAGCACAGTGTCTTATGCCAAGCAGGCAATCAAAATTTTACTGACTGGATTCAAATAGGAAGAAACAGTTATAGTTTTATCAGAGGCACACACCTTCCAAAAACCCCAAAGTTTCTGGTCTTTAACCAAAAGGGTTTTTTGTTTGTTTTAAATTATTTTTTATTTTTCAATTAGAGTTGACATTCAATATTCAGTCTCGATGTGCCTTAGTTATCAGAGTTCTGTGCAGCTTGTCTTCAGGTGGGTCTCAAAGGTAGTTATTCTGTAATTTAGTTGTAATTTTAATGTGGTTGTGGGAGGTGAGTGTTTATCTACTCTGCCATCTTGACTGGTACTCCTAACAAAAATTTTGGTTGCCTAAACTTGAAAGAGATAAAATCCATATTTCCTTTGCAGTTAACACTAATATGTTCAAGCCCATCCTCACATGAGAGCAATTAACTGTCGCAGCAGCACTTTCAAGATGATGGCCAATCATTTTTATTGCTTAATTTTTTCTGTGAGATTATTTACCTCAAGTGTTTCTGTACGAGAGCGACATATATAAAGAAGCTCTGCAAGTATCAGTCCTAGAGCAAAGATGTCCACTTCATTTCCATATTGTACTGAAGAAAGCTAAAGAGACCAAAATATATTTACATTTGTTAATCACCTGATATAAACATCCATGCTTTCTGAAGACAAAAAAGTTATTTGACCAAAATATATTTTATAACAGTGTATGTTTGTTAGCAAGATCTATGGAGTCTAACTGCTCAAGTTCAAATCTCTGTTACTAAATAGCTGAATCACCTGTGCCATCAACATGGGAATAATCTCAACCATCAAATGGAGATAACAATAGTTTCAACCTCAGAGTTTGACTGTGGGGTTAAATGAGAGGTGAAGCTGTTAAAATATTTCCCAAAAGTGACTTACATGCAAATGTTCATAGAAGATTTAGTCATCATATTCCATAACTGGAAGCAATCCAAATGTCGATCCCCAGGAGAATGGATAAACAAATTATGGTATACAGGTATACCTCATTTTATTCCATTTGGCTTAACTGCGTTTTTAAAATTTAGGTCAGAAATCCATTCAGAAACACTTTGTTGTGATGTGGGGTAGCAAATAATACTGTTTTCCCAAAAGGCTTATAAATTTCAACTTAGAAAATGTTGTCTTCTGGTTTCTTTTCTTTTCTCTCACCTATTATTGCCTCACCAAGTATTAGAACATTACATAAACTTAGTTGATAAAGCAGTGGAAAGGTCTGAGGAGACTGACTCCAATTTTGAAAGAAGTTCTACTCTGGGTAAAATGCTATCAAACAGCATCACGTGCTACAGAGAAATCATAAGTGAAAGGGAGAGTCAATTGATGCGTCAAACTTCATTGTTGTCTTATTTTAAGAAATTGCCACAGCAACCCCAGCCTCCATCAACCACCACCCTGATCAGTCAGCAGCCATCGAAATCAAGGCAAGACCCTTCACTAGCAAAACGATTACAACTCACTGAAGGCTCACATGATGGTTAGCGTATTTTAGCAATAAAGTATTCTTTAATTAAGGTAATACATTGTGCTTTCTTTTTAGACATAATACTATTGCATACTTGCTAGGCTACAGTATAGTGTAAATATAACTTTTATATACACTGGGAAACCAAAAAATTCATGTGTCTTACTTTATTGCAATGGTTGGAACTGAATCCACAATATCTCCGAAGTATGCCTGTATTCATACTATGGAGTAGTACTCAGCAATAAAAGGGGATAATCTGCTGGTACAAGCAACAACTAAGGGTTCTCCAACAGACATTACTTTGAGTGAAATAATCACATATACAAGAGTACATACTGTATGAATGCATTCATAGGAAGCTCAAGACCACAGAAAACCAATCTATGGTGATAGAAATCACAGCACTGGTTACCTCTGGGCAGTGGGGAGGAGAGATTGACTGGAAAGGCGTCTGAGGAAATTTTCTGGGATGAGGAAAATGTTCTACATCTTTATAACCTGTGGGCTTCACAGGTGCATGCTTTTGTCAAAGCTCAAAAAACATGTACATTTAAGATCTGTGCATTTTATGGCATACCACTTATTCCTCAACAGAATGTTTTTAAATTTAAAAGATCACTAAGAAAACAAAAAACACAATGATGAATAATTTTTGAAAAAATCTTCTGAGGGTGACAATATTGGATGCAGAAGATACTTAATAAAGTGGGAATTAAAAGGGAGTCAATTAACCTCTTATTGTCTTCTACTTGTACACCCCCGCAAAAAACTTAAATTATGTTTTTATGCCAAATTGTCCCCAAAGGGAAGATATGTTTTCCTTTTTCACTCTAGACTCTCGAACCATCAGATAACTCAGTAAGTGTATTTATTCTTGGGTGAGAAAATAATAGAGTATTTTGAAAGGTACCTTATCAGTAAAAATAATGATCTTTAAGGGACATTTATAAATCAAAAAGAAAAATAGGATGAACAACTCAAAAAGATGGAAATGGACAATAAGCAATCGACCAAAAAAACCAAAAACTATTAATGAGTCTATATATAAGCCAAACATTCACAAATCTATAGCTGTACAGCCATGTTCATAGATGCAACCTTCACAATAGTCAATAGGTAGAAGCAACCCAAATATCCATCCATGAATGGATAAACAAATGCAGTCCATCCACACAATGGAATATTACTCATCCTTAGAAAGAAAATTCAGACATGTGCTGCAACATGCCTGAATCTTGAGGACATTATCCTGAGTGAAATAGGACAGTCACAAATGGACAAATACTGTACGATTCCATTTAGTGCAGTGAGATTCACGGAGACAGAAAGTAGAATGGTGGTTGCCAGGGGCTGGAAGGGGGAGGGAATGAGGAACTGTTCAATGGGTCCAGAGTTTCAGTTTTGCAAGAAGAGCTCTGTGAAAGGATGGTGGTGAAGGTAGCACAACAATGTGAATGTATTTAACGCCACTAAACTGTACACTTCAAAATGGTGAAGACGGTCAATTTCATGTTATGTGTATTTTATCATAATTAAAATTGATAACAAAGTATTGGTGAGGTTAGTAAACTGGTACCTCATACACTGTTGGGTTGCCCTGTAAATTGGAATGGCCTTTGTGGAGGAAAATTGAGCAATATCTGTTAATATTTTAGATAGATAAGAATGTATTTGCTTTCTTTCCAGCAACCCCCCCTTCTACAATCGATCTTTCAAGAAATAGTAGCACAAATATTCAAAGATACAGCGATTTTCATTTCTGCATAATTTGTAATAAAAAAGTTGGAAACAACCTAAGTGTTCAGAAATAGGGGAACAGTTAAATCAATTATGACATATCCATATAATGTACTATGCAGCACAAAAAAATGTCAGAACTGTCCATAATTTTCTTGAGATCTATACATATTAACATGGAAATGTCTTCAAGAACTATAAGGTAATATGCTTAACGATTAAGTTACAGAAAAAAATATTATAGAATGATTCTGACTGGCCAAAAAGAAAACACAAACTTCTCCACACATACAAGCATATGTAGGTATCGGCTCAGACTTTTACTATGTCTCTACATGTCATATGCCAATATATGTCTTCAAATGCATGGAAAATGTATAGGATATGCACCAAACTGCTAACAGCGACTTCCTCTGAAGAATAAATTTAAGGGTCCAAATAAAAAAATATATATTTTTTTAAATAAAAATACTATAAAATCAATACATTTTAAAAACCAGTAGCCTCATTAATAACCAATTGGATATAAGAAGTCCTATTTTAATAGTAAAACACCATACTTATTCGGGGGAAAGCTTTGACATATGAGCAATCTTTATCAAGAAAAAAATATTTTAAAATTACACTGAAGAATATACAAGTGACCCTGAGGTAGACTGTATCATTGCTCCCAACAGTGCTCTGGCCTCCCAGGGAGGGCATGACACTTCTCTACCCTCTTGGCCTTGAGCTGGGCCATGCACTTGGCTCTGGCCAATGATGTTGAGTGATGTACGCCACCACGGAGCAGAGCCTTAAGAATCACCACAAGGTTCTGACATTATTTTCTGCAGTGAGAATAGCGATACTCAGGGGTCTTCCTTCGGCCTGGGTTCTGGAATGAAGGAGACATGTGCGAAACTGCAGCCCCACTGCAGCAGATGCATCACATAAGAAATAAACCTCTAGGGTGATGTGTGCCACTAGAAAATCATGGGTCATTCTTACCATAGCATAGCTTGGCAAGAGATGACCGATGGAGGGCTTGAATAAGTGCCAGAAATATGCCAATTTCCTGGAGAAGTTTCAAACATATAAAAATGTCAATCCTCCTCTACTGAATCCTTACATTTAATGCAACTGTGGTCAAAACCTCAACAGAGATTATGAAACATGACGAGCTGATTCTATCACTTATTTGGAGTAGTAAATGTGAACACCAAGAACATTTTTAAATTGAATAAGGACCTGCTGTCCAAATATTAAAAGTTGTCTTACAATGCAATAATAATTAAAACTATGCTATTGAAGAGAAAAAATAAATCCATCGGACAGAATAGAGTCCAGAAACACATCCATGAGTGTGTGGGAATTTCTAAGATGATGAAATAAAATTTTTCCTGCGTTAAAATATATATAACATAACACTATTTTTATTTGTACAATTCAGTGGTACTAAGTACCTTCATAATGCTGTGTAACCATCACCACTATCTATTTCTAGAAGTTTTTCATCATTGCAAATAGAAACTGTCCCCATTAAACAATAACTTCCAATTCTTCCCTTCCCCAGGCCCTGGTCACTTCTGTTCTACTTTTTGTCTCTATGAATTTTCCTTAAAACAATATTTTAAATCATGAATTATTCAATACATGGTGATGGGACAATTGCATATCGACATGGAGGAAAATCAAATTATGTCCTTTCCTCATAGGTATTCAAAAATTAATTAAAGTTAGACTAAAGTATTAGCAAAAACACAAAATATTTTCATAATCTTGTGGTAGGAACAACCTCAAAAATAAAAAAAAAGAGAAATCCAGCAGTCATAAAGAAAATGTTGACAAATGTGACCCTTCAAAGCTTCTATACCACATTACAGACAAAGAAATAAAAAGGAACAATCAAGGAGGAAAATTCTGTGATATAGTTATCAGATACAGCATCAATATCCAAAATACATAAAGATTCCTTAAAAATAAATTAGAAAAAGATAACCTAATTAAGAAAAATGAAAGGATAGGAATAGAGAATTTGCAGAAAAAAATTGTAAGGAAACACATGTAAAGACGCCCTACCTTACTAAAAATCTGGAAAATGCAAACTAAAAAAGCAAGATACACCTCATTCATCACACTGGCCAAAACTGTAGTTGGACAGTACCCTAGTCTGATTGGGAGTGCGGGAGGAAGCAGTAGTCTCCTACACATTGGTAGGAAAGCACAGTCGAATCACTTTTTTTGGATGATAATTTTGTAGCATTTATCAAGTTTGAAATGTCATTCTATTCAATAATTTTACTTCAAGGAATCTATCATTGATTATCATAGAAATATTTGTTCTTAGACTCAAAGATAAGGAGGAAGACATATATGTCTGTAAATGTAAAAAGTTGGAAATAACCTAAATAAATACCCATCAATAAGGTAATAATTAAATTATGGGACAGCTATACTTCGACATAAAATAATAAGCTATTAATAAGGATGTGTTAGATTTATTTGTACTGATATAGAAAGATTATGATACATTTTGAGTGAAAAAAATCAAGTCACATAAGAACACTTTAGTATCCTATAAAAATGTATGTATGTTTTTATGTATAAACGTCTGTGTAAATACATATTTGTGTTTGCATTTTTTTTTTTTTTTGTAGAGGGCAGTGTCACTGGCCCTCACATGTGGGATCCGAACCAGGGCCCTCTGGCGTCCCAAGCCAGCCCCTAACCATCGCGCCACTTGGCGGCCCTGTGTTTGTATATTTTTATAACTCCCAGAAAGTTATCTAAAAGGATAAACAATAAACTCTAGTGAGAAGAGTAAAAATACAAAGGAAGGTTATGGGGAATTTTCCATTTTTATTCTATATACTTCTGCACTGTTTTAATTTTATAAGAGGTGTCTATTATTTTTATAATTTAAAAAAAATGAAAGAAGTAAAAAAATATATAGGCAGAAAGGAAAGGGGCTTCACCTGTTCTGGGCTCATGTATATTGGAGTTCCCTTATCATCTGTCCGATTTTCATCATGTGTCAGGAATGTTACAAGTCCAAAGTCTCCAATCTTTATTTGTTTTGTACCTACTAAAAATATGTTACTGGGCTAGAGAAAAAGAAAAAAAAACATTTAATTTATAAGTACCAATTTGACAGACGGGTCTCACATATCCAAATCATATTTCGCAATGGCTATTTTTATATTTACTTGCAAGGCATTTCCCCTTAAAATTCCCAACACAGGAAATTGAATGTCACAGGTCTTTAAAATGCCAGCTGAGGAAGTAAGGACTTCTGTCAGCAGACAAGGCTTGGGACATAGCTCCCTTTAAATATATGAAGTGCTGTTAACGAGCAGGTGGATTCATCCTGTGCAGTTCCAGGGGAGAGATTCAGGACTAGAGTACTGGAGGGTGGAAATATCCAAAAGATTTGTGTTAGTATAACCTAATATACTAATAGTGCGGTTCAAAGAATGGGAGTTCAAGAGTTCTCTATCCCAGGAGGTATTTAAGATGGGGCTGGATATCCACTTGGTGGAAATGTTGCACATATGAGCCCAGGATTAGATGGTGATGGAAATAGGTACCCTTAAGATTCCTTCCAATTTTGAGATCCTCAGAATGGGTCTCTTCTCAATAATGCTGCTGGCTATCTTATGTAGAATTTCGGGGAGTGGGGGGGCTTCCTTGATGTCAATATTTCCAGGCCTCTGACAACGTCTTCAAAAACATACCCCTTCTATCCTTGAAGGCATACCAACTTAACTGGAAGCTGATAACTAGCACTGAAGTATTTTTTCCATGTAATTCTTTAAGTAGATTAAAAAAAAAAAAAAGGAAGAACAGAATGAGGGCTGTTCATCCTATTTCACAAATTTGTAGAATTTGTAGACGGTATTGACCAATATTCTAATGACCATAAAAACAGGAAGTTATTGATGAGGAAATTAATATTTTTTCATTCTTGAAAAGGCTAGGCTTTAAATACAACCTTGGGCCATACGTTCATACACAGGCCTTATGAGCTAACACTTATGAGAGGACCTAGCAAAGGTCCTGAGAGGGAAGAAACCATCAGCCCAGAGCGGTCTTGAAAGAGCTTCCAAGAAGCCAGCCTGAAAAAGTCCATGCCAAAATTAACAATTAGATTGGAACAATTAACAGTGAGATTGGAGCCTAACACAGATGGAAAGCTGTAGATGTGGGGGGGGGGGGGGGGGGGGGGGGGGGGGGGGGGGCGCGGAGATGGTGTGGAGAAATAAAAAGGAGGTTACATTTACAATGCTGTCCAAATATATAAGCTGAAAAGGACAGTCTAGCAAAAATATTAGATTGCTTGTTTATTGTTCATCAAAAAGTAAAAGAAAAACAATAATGCCACATTTGTCTAATCAGTTATGGTATGATTAGGCAAAATGTTGGGTTGTAGAGCATAAAAAAAAAGGGGTGCCCACTTTCTATCGGAGGTACAGGAATAAGGGCTGACGCTCAGGCTGAGGATGACCAAAGAGCCTGGGCCTAACGGGGACTGAAGCTCCAGTGACTCATACGCCCTCATTCCAGAACCTTCTATGTCCCTCCCCTAGTGCCTTTGGTCTAGTTCTTAAGATTCTGACAGAAAGCAGTAAGCAGTGGTAGATTTTATATAATAGTGGCTCTCGTGGGTAAAGACCATTGTCTAGTAAAGCCAACTGCTAGTATTTTGCGAAGCATCCCCCAAGGAAGCGCAGGCCTTCTTTTGCATCTTCTCTCAGATGCAAGAGAGCAGCAACTGGAGCAGTGAAGCTAGAAAAGTGGTAGAAGACGAAAGAAGGCTCAGCAGTAGTAAAGCCTGACCTTTGAGCAACTGCACACAGCGCAAAAATTCTCTGCACGCAGACACTCCCCAACATGGGGCACAGGCAGTGCGGGGTATACAGGAGGGGCGGTAGGACAAGGGAGACGCCAGTCAGCACCAGTCAGAAGTGCATTAATTCATCCTGAGGAAGGTTTGGGAGTTAATACCCAAACTTCATTTCCTCGCAAATTACTGTATAAATAAACAATTGTGCTGAATTTCTTATTTAAGTCTATGTATGATTTATTCCAAAGTGAAGGTATAGCCATTCTAAAAAGGTATCTTTTCGAACACTGTCCTTACAATGTTCCAACTTAGAAGAACACCTTCAGATATTGTTACAGAGAGCTATTGGGACCAGGGGGACTCGAACATGAAGACATCAGACATTCACCCCCTGGGCAGACCAAGGATGCAATATCTTAAGGCATCAGACATTCACCCCCTGGGCAGACCAAGGATGCAATATCTTTTAAGGGCCACTTAATCTTATGAAGGCCCAACAAACAACTATATACATTAAGTGCTTATTTTTGTCAAGGAACTTTTTGCTTCATTCCTTGTTCCTGGATGTTTTAGATAAGTGGGGTAAGCAGATAATCAAGATCCATATAAACAAGGTGCTTCTGCCTGATCCAGAACGATCAGGAAAGGCTACGTAAAGAAACTGGGACCAAAGGAGACAGGCATTAAGAGTGTTCCATGCTTTGGGGACAGGATTCAGCATGGCCAGTTTGTGAAAAGAGCAGGCAAATCACAGGGAATGGAGTATGGAGGAGGGATTGAAAAGCTGTTCTGCCTCTCTTCTTCTTTTACTTGGATGAGAAAGAAAAACGGGAAAACTGCCCTTCTAGACGAGGTAGGATGCCAGGAAGACAGAAGAAAACGAAAATACAAAGGTATGCTACATGTTCCAAGGTTTGGATGAGTGCAATTTTCCAATCATGGGGCAAAGGTGTCTAACCAAATGCCAAGAAAATTCTAGACTCTGGACCCAGTTGTGTGTGACTGCCCTCAAGAGTAATGACTGAGACAGTAGGAGAACCTGTGTTCCCAAAGCCATAGTCACCAGAGTCCCTTCTGCCTCTCAGACAAGCCTGAGCCGCAGGAGAGGCAGGGACGCAGCGGCCAGTGGGCTGTGCCAGCCACAGTAAGTATCTGCACAGAAATGTTCAGTCTACTAAAGCTTTCGTGTTTACTACCGGAGTGTGACTATCAGCCAAACAGAACCAGAGCGAAAGAGTTCCTTCCGGTAGAGCTCAGTGTCTTGATGTGTTTACTCATCAAGCCCTGGGGATCTTCTGAGTGGTGCTCTGCAGTGAGGCAAGTTCTAGATCCACTCTGACTTTAGCGGAGCAGATATTGTTTCCTCACAACTGTCAACCAATTCTAAAACTTGAGAAAACAGATTTTAAAATTACTCAATTACCATTATCAATCCCTAACAAAGCACATTTTCCTCTTACCTTAAGATCTCGATGAATTAACCCTTCCGAATGTATATAATCCACTCCTACTACTATTTGCTCATATAATTCCAAAGACAAACATTTGTTTGGTTCCTTTTTTCTTCTGTTGTCAAGCCACTGTTCCAATGTACCTTGATCACAGAATTCCATTTGGATGAAAAGGCACTTAGTCAATGACCTGGGTATAAAATTCACAGAGAAATAGGCATAAAAATACATTTATAAAAAACACATTTCTGTTTTAAAATTATACCGTCTCTTCTTAAGAGGGGCAAAACGTCTCAAAACAGAAATCTAAATATAACAAATAAATCTGGATCAAAATTTAATAAACCATTTTTTACCTAAATCATAAGTTCCCAGATGGGCAGAGCTTTATTTAGCTAATTTATGAAGTGTAAGCCTGTCCATTCTCCAATGCTGTAGGCTCTTGATCACCTTTGCTAACAGATAGGAATGGGAACACTAATACAACAGAGTTTCAGAAAAACCAAATAGACACAGACAACAGTTTAGTGGTTACCAGGGGTGAAGGGGGGAAGGGGGCGATAGAAGAGGGTAAAGGGGATCAAATATATGGTGATGGAAGGAGAACTGACTCTGGGTGGTGGACACACAATGTGATATATAGATGATGTTTTATAGAATTGTACACTTGAAACCTATATAATTTTACTAACCAATGTCACCCCAAGACAATTAATAAAAATTAAAAAAGCAAAGATACATCACAAATTAAAAAATATTTTAAATACACTAAAGAAACAAATATCACTATTATATAAATTAATTTTGAAACATTTTAATTCACCATCAATCTACGGAGCATTTATTTTGTGGAAGGCACAGAATAGGCACCTAGAGATGAGAAAATTAGTTAGAAACTATCCTTGCTGTCACGGGGATGACAGTTTAATGAAAGAGAGGTAAAGGAAAAACAAACCTAAAACAATAGTACAAGGGTAGGTACTCTAAGAGAAGTGCCAACAAATTGCTATGAGTTATAACTCGGAGGACTCATTTTGCTGACCATGTTTTTTGGGGGTTTGTTTTTGTTTTTGTTTTTTTCTGAACTAAGTTGGTCTCAATATTAATTTATATTCGTTGAACATATGTTGGCTAGAAAGCAGAAAGAGGTAGCCAAGAATTTCCTGAAAGCTGAAGAAGTCCCGTGTGCTGGTAGTCAAGAACTCCTGAAAGCGGTGATAAAAGTTCTCAATTACATGGGGTGGAGATGGGGCCCATGGATTCCGGGGATGATGAATGAACAGCCCGCAATGCCCTGGAACCTCCAGTTGCAGCAGCTATAACATGTTCAAACTCCCTTCACAAGACTGCATTTACAGCCTGAGCTGAAGTCGGGGCATGTGAGCAAGCCTATGTATACATTAAACAATGGAGTCAGGGAAGTTAAACCTGACATTTTGAAAACAGCTGAGGACAATGAGAAAACAGGAGAGGAGCAAGGAAAAGATTATTCATTGTCTCCTTGCCTGCAGAATGGAATCATACCAGTGTCTCAGTGTTTGTGGATGTGATTATTAAATGTATTAATTAATGGCCTTATCTGGTGGCCCACACATAGTCAATGACAGTTTCCTCCAACCTACTACAGCTATGAGAATTTCTTTTTAATTACCTTTTGTTGTTGCTGTCCTCAAGAGCAAAATCAGTTCCATCCCAACAACTACAGTAACGGACAATATTTTTATGATCAAGCTTTGCCAAAGCTTTTACTTCACGCTCTACCTTCCTAATTAGTAGAAACAGAGAATATCAAGAATCAGTACATATCAATAACAAAACACCTCAAGTAACAGGAGACAACTATCAACACTCTTTTATTAAACAGTCGCCATGGTTCCCACAGCCTGAACTATAGAATGAAAGCCAGGGGCACTGAAAAAGAAAAAATGAATGTACAGAAAAAAAAGCTATTTTCCACTCTCAACATAAAAGAAAAAGCAGTGATTTAAATCAGCCCAAACATCAGACAATTTAAAAGTCATTTGCAGTAGTCCTTGAAATGTCAATGATACAATTTTGGGTACCTAATTCGTATATTATGTTTTGTTTAAACTTGTTAAAGTCATTTTGGATTTCATAAACAAAGCCCATTTTGGCAGCAAAGGTAGGTAACCCAGGTCGCATGGAGAACTTAATTCAGAACATTTCACGTATGGCAAAAACACACAAAGGAGAGGACGTATGTAGAGAAACAATCTTCACTCACTGTACATTGCAGGAGTTTTACAGAGATGTGTAGTCAAGAGCTAAGACAGACAGTTCTGCGTTAAATGGAGTAAACAAATTTGAGCTGTCACGGATGAGAAAGGATAAGCAAACATTACAATTTCAGTTTTTATTTGAAAAAATTTTTATATGATATAAAATTTGTAAAAATAAAGAAAAAATCACTCTTATGTTGATGATCCTAACACAAGTTATTATTTTGGGTTATTTCTTATTGTGTTTCTTCCTATATATTTTTATGTATTTGTAATTATAGTATATAATTTTCATCCTATTCTTTCACATGTTATCTTTACAATTTTCCTTGTTGTTTTACAATCTGCATAACCATCATGTATAAACTTTTTAATGTAAGTTTTCATTACATTTTATACAATTTCATTTTATACAATGTAAGTATAAAAAAGTAGAGCAAATAGTATAATGAACCCCTACCTAGCCGTCAACCAGATGAAATTTTAGTTGTGAATTCCTGGCCAGTTTGGTTTCATCTATGCCCTTGCCTACTTCCTCATCTTCCCGTGGATTATTCTGAAGCAACTTCCAGCATTGTATCTTTTCATGTGTAAATATTTACAGCATATAACCCTCATTTTTAATGACTGCCAAATAGCCATTTATCAGGGAAGAGAACAAAACATACCTAATCATTTCTTTATTGCTGGACATTTTGTTTTTTCAAATTTTTCATGTTATAAGCGACAATGTGATTTATCTCTGTTTGCACAGCTTTTTCCATAATTTGGACAATATCCTTAGAATAGGTTCCCAGACAGGAAATCCATGGGTCAAAGCATATAAACATTTTTATGGCTGTAGAGTAATACTTCCAAGTATATTTTAACTGTGTCATAGCAACTTACGAAGCCACTAAAAATGCCCCATAATACTGTACCCTGATCACCATTGAGTACATCCATTAATAAAACTGCTATTGAACAGAAGGAACAACAGTATTTCACTCCTGTGAAGCAAAACAGTGAAGAAGGAAAAAGCCTTGTTTTGATGCCAAGAAGGTATGAAGGTATCTCAACTGTAAGGCGCTGTCCATGGGACAGGAAATAGGTTTGTTTGACTGGGAAGAAGAACACCTAGGACTCCATGCCTGCTGCTACTTTGCTCAGGTCGTTTTCCTTAGCCCATACCCCCTTTCCATCTCCTTCTCTAGTCCTTGAAGGACCAGTCTGGCCAAGTTACATGTGATAACAACTGCCAGAAAACAACACACGAGATTGGTAAACTAGTGACATATGATTTAAGACCTCCTTCTTATGTGTCTTCCTGAAGGAGTTCCGCAATCCAGCAAGGGTGGCGTGGGGGCGAGGTGCAGATCATACATAAAACCAACATGGGAAGCAATGGGTTATAGTGGGAACAGAGTGGATTGGTATTCCAGAGGATGAGTTCTAAGTCTCCATCTTGTTAACATAATAGTGTCCAAAGATGGTCATCATCAATCCCCTCCCTCCCCTTACACGTATCCACTCTTCAGATTAAAAGATAGAGCCTAAGGGCAGTCAGTTAGCTCAGGTGGTTAGAGCAAAGGCTCATAACACCAAGGTTGCTGGTTCAATCCCCACATGGGCCAAGGAGCTGCGCCCTCCACAACCAGATCGAAGACAACTACTTGACTTGGAGCTGATGGGTCCTGGAAAAACACACTATTCCACAATAAAAATTTCTTTAAAAAAAAAATAGAGTCTATTTGCCCTTCCCTTGAATCTGAGCTGGACTTAGTGACTTTGTTTAACCAATATAATGTACTACGTAGAACTTCTAAGACTAGGTCAAAAGTAGCCTTGCTGCTCCCTCTTGGGACGATTTGCTCTGGGGACAATCCTTCTTGGAAACCAGCCACTAAGCTGTGAGAGGCCCCGGCCACATAAGGAGGCCATGTGGAGACACTCTGATTAACAATCCCAGCTGAACGTCCAGCCTATAGCCAGTATCAACTGCTGGCCACGTGAGAAACCCATCTTGGGTGTTCAGCCTTCTCAAGCCTACAGAAGACTCCTGACTGCAAATGCAGTTCCAAGTGAGACTGGCTCAGATGAGATGAACACAATCAACTCACAGAACCATGAGAGATAATAATAACCTGTTGTTTTTAAACCACTATGTATTGGAATGGTGTATTATATAGACAATATGTAGACAACCAGAACCATTACCAACTATTTTTACCTTTGAAAAATCAGTTCACATCTTTGGATCTTAGTCTCCTCATGTGTAAAATAAGGAGATGAAACTAGAAAATATCAAAGGTCACCTTAAGCTAAATGATTCTATAACTTCAGTTTTCATCAAGACAGACTTAAAAGACTGATGGACTATATATCCATTTTTTATTGAAATAACCATTTCAGACTAAGCCAAGCGCCTGAAGGTAGAATTAGATTTTTAAGGAGGACTGGAAAAAAGTAAATAATACACTAATGAAGAAGAGAGGTACATAAAAAAGAACAGTGCAGGTTCAACATACCTTCTCATTAAAAAAAAAAAACATTTACTACTTACTGGTTATCGTATTCAACACGTTTAATAACATAAGTCTTTCCATCAATTCTGTGTTTTGCTTTGAAAACGTCGCCATATCCGCCTAAGCCAATTGGTGTTATTTCTAGGAAATCCTTGAGAAACCTTAAAAGATAAATGCCACAGTTATTCTACAGTTCGATGCTAGCTGGCCCCGACCCCTTCCATTTTCCCTTCATGTCACTAGTAAAATGGACCGTATAACAAACATGACTCTCCCCTTTTAAAGAACGGCCCACTTCAGAGAAACTCCTGAATCATGAAGGATAGTTCCTGCTCCTCCTCCTCCCAACATAACAGATCACCCCTGGGAGTCACGGTTAAATCCTGGCTGTACAACAGCCATGAAAAAGAGTCTTATCACAGGTATAAAATTTTAGATAGGGGCACCATATTGTGTCCATAGCTACCACCAAGCTGCAATAAGAGAAATGAGCAGCTGCTCTGGGCCTGTCTAGGCTTTAACTATCTGGCTTTCCCTTCTCTCTCAGGTCCCATCTTCCATCAGGAAACCCTGCCAATTCTACTTCTAAAACCTATCACTGGTATCTGCCCACTTTTCCCATCTCTGACATCTTCACGCCAGTCCAAGCTTCCATCAGGGTCCTGTATAGATCCAAGGCCCAGTTCCAGTGCCAGGTATATATTAGGTTCTCATTCAATATCTGTGGGTTCTCTATTGTTTACTAAAACTTATATTCAATGTCCTCCTGCTGCAAATAGGCTTCCTTTGTTTTAGATATTTTATTTAAACCCAAACACATGATTTACCACAAGAGGAACCCTTTTTCAAAGTGAAATCTGGTATGGAGCTGGAAAATGGAAAACAGATTCAAGTGGATCTATTCTGATTCCTGCAGGAGGACTTTTTTGGGGAACAAAAAATCACTTTTTTTTTTCATTATTAAAAACTGCCATAGTGTCAGAGAAATCCACATAAGCATCACATAGATGTATATTATTGCATTCCATTTGAATTTGTCTAAACTTTACTTCTCCAAGAGACAATGATCCTTTATGGGCCTTATTGTGCTAAAACAATTAAACCATTTAGGTGGAAATATAATGTAACCTGTCCGATGCATTCCCTTATGAAACTTTTGTTGAATTAACAAACATATCTTTAAGCATATTATATTTTACAATTCCCTCTTACCTTTTATCCATAGTATACTCGTTTCTGAAAAAATAAAAAGAATGTAAAACTCAAATAAAACTGAAATCAAGTATCACTTGTTTAGAATGAATTTTATGCCATGCACTAGGTTTTTCTATATTTTGAGTCAACTATTAGGATAACAGAGTAGCAAATGTTAACCTTTTTTAAAAAAAAATGATATACTTAAGGTTCTCCTCTGTCCTCTAAAAATTTTTCATTCCTTTCCTGGTTTCTTTTTTTGCCTTAACACATTCACTTTTGGCAGGCCACTAGCCTTCCCTTTTTTTCCCTCCAGATTCAAAACCTCAGGACAACTATCTCCTTGCACCCACCCTCATTCTGGTCTTTCTTCCTTTGTATTGTATCCCTTACTGGTGGTAAGCCATCTGCAACTGGAAGCTCAAACATCACCTACAACTAAACATACACACAAAAAATGCATCTTCTGTCAAAGCCCTCAAGTCTTCAACTTCCTTAACACTCTCAGTGCCCTGATTCTTGTCTGCATCCCATTCGCGAGGAACAATCTTCAAGTCCTTTCTCCTTCGCTTCTTCTTCATCCAGTTACTGTAACTCTATTCCCTCAAGTCCTAGCTACTCTTCCCTTACAGCCAGTCTCTCAAATTCTCCTCTCTGCCACTATAACCATGGCTGACGGCCTGATCATCTCACATGCAGACCTCTGTTCTCTCCATCCAAACACCCACGTCAGGAATCCTGTTTCCTCAACACATTATCTACTGTTCAGAATATACTCATGGCTCAGAATGGCCCCTGTTACCATCTCACTCTCATTATTGACTATATTTACATTCTTGCTTTTCTCTTCAGTTAAAAAGAAATTAATTCACCATCATTTATGTAACAGGTTATCTTTTTTTTCTTACCTGAGTTATTACACTATTTCTACCCTAGCTGCTTATCTGCAGAATAATGCACTTCTCTTGAAAACACCTCTCTAAGCCCACTTCCAAAATAATGCCCTTAACCAGTTATTCCAGCGACACCCCCATAGGCCTTTATGTCTACAGCGTACTGTGTGCGTGCATTCAAAGATTTCGCTACATAGCTAAGATTTTCTTCTATAGGTTTCAAGCTTTTTGTGATCTTTAACCATGCATTCTACTTTTGAAACTCCACCCAAATAAAGGTGTACTTGCAATACTCTACAAATACTGAAGACATAATAAATAAGTCTGACAAACTAAGTGTGAAAGAAAACTTCATTTCAAACGGTGTTCAATGCCTAATGACACTCACCCTTTCACCTTCCTGTGACTGTTTTTGAGATTGTTCTGTAACAAAAGAGAATTGGAAATCATTTCAGATGATTGAAATCAATCACATTGTTTTTTCTTGCTATCCTTCCTCCTGTACGTGGGGTCGGCAAACTGCGGCTCGCGAGCCACATGCAGCTCTTTGGGTACGTTCCGTCTCAAAAGTTTGCCGACCCCTGGAAGAGCCAATCCTGTCCCTCACAACAATTTAAAAACAATTTAAAAAAGCTTTGCAAGATCTACAAAACAAATGAAATCACCATTATGTAAATAATATCTTTTAAAAATTTTATAAGTGAAACTACGATAGCTTTATTTTCATTTTCAATTTTACTTCAGAGGCTCACCTGCCGCAGTTTGCTGAACCCTGGAGGCTCTTCCATCTCAAAAGTCTGCCGACCCCTGTCCTATACTTCTAACTGGTTCTGTGACCACATTTCTTTGCCCGTAAGATTAACGGCCTCATCAATTTTTGTACTCTTGTCAACACCTGCTTCCCAGTTTACTTGGTTACATAACAATATTCTCCTCTGTTAGAGCAACCGGACAGATATGGCAGGAAGGCCAAAGTAGGCCATGGCAGGGCATGTTCAGCAGAAACACTGGTTCTCCAGATACAGAACATGGCTTCCCTGGTGATCCTCTGGCCAGCAGATCTCACCACAGAGTGCACCCATCGTTCATAGAGCTGATAAAGACACATACGGAGCCCCAGGGTGCACTTCCAAATAATCCTCCAGGGGTTCTTATTTGATCACCAGTTAAAAACTACAATGCTGATAGTTTCACTTTTAGCACAAATTAATAATTTTAACATATAGCAAAAAAAGCAGTCTTTGATATATCTCTCAAAAATTAATTTCATATAGCTATTTTTCATTCATATTCACTTTTATTCTGGTCGATGTTGTGAACTTTTTTTTTTAACCAATTTAAGTATGTTCATACAGCATGGGAAGGATCAGACTAGGATTTCTTGAGCTCATATTACCAGTGAGCTTCTATATTGCATGGTGGCTGTGCTACTGATTAATTTAGCCATTCTGTTAATGAGCAATATTTTTTCTAATTTATTCTGATTACAAACAGTGTTGCAAAGAACATTCTTATACATGTTTCTCTGTGCATACACGTGAGTGTTTCTCTAGGAGACAGCCCCAGGAAGGGAACCCCTTGGCAGTGCAGCTGGCACACCCTCAACTTTACTACATGTTGCCAAACTGTTCTCCAAAATGGTTGTACTGATTTATACTTGCGCCAGCAGCATATAATAGTTATAATTGGAATATAGCTATGCCAACACTTAGTATTGCCAGACTCAAATTTTGCCAATCTGATGAGTTTAAAATGGTATCTAACTGCTGTTCTGATTGGCATTTTCCTGATTACTATGAAGTAAACCATCTTTTTATGTTTCTTGCCCATTTGGGTATCTCTTCTCTGAATTGTCTGTGCAGATTGTACACTTTTCTCCGGAGTTGCTTGTCTTTGTCTTATTGATTCGTAGTTCTTTATAAATAGGATACTTTTGTGACACTAATCATCATCACAAAAATGATCTGGTTTTTAAGTTTAGTTTTTATTTTAAGTTTAGTTCTGATTTTTTAAAACAGAAGCAGAGCTGTATTCATGACTCTTTGAAGTACTGTCTATTTGGTAGAAGATAAGAAGCAAGATCATAAGAACATATGAAAACGTGAAGGTTAGGGAGAGAGAGAAAGAGGGGAGTGAAAAATGGGAGAATTCTGCATTTGAGGGGTGGAGATTAATAAAGAAAGGACAGAGTCAAAGGCTGCCAACTATTATTTGGAAAGAGCACGTGAGTTAAAAATAGAAAAATTATGGCTGGGTACTGACGGTCATTTTCAAATGAAGAAACACAAAGAGAAATGAGATTCACTAGGAGGCTTAGCGACAAATACTATACTATACCACAGACGATGAAGAACTGCTAAAACTGTCACTGGTATCATTTCTTTCTGATCCACTTGCTGAAAAGCCACTTTCGGGCGGTGATTCAGAATCACTAGAAGAAAGGGTTTAACTGTTAGTGTATGAATTCTATTTTTTGTTGATCAGTAATTTCTTTCACCAAGTTTTCCTTAAACATTAAACATTTCCATAAAAATTGGCTCTTTTGGGCAGCAATCTGAATTTCTTAAATCTCAAGTTGTTTGTACACACTTACGATGTGCTTGTCTCCGAAGAATTACTTCTGTCGTCACTGAACCCAGGAGAGGAAGAAACGAGGGAAGCTATGTCATCTTTCTGGAAGAAAGAGAGCTTTTCAGGGGGATTAAGTGCAACTAAATGACTTCCCCCCAGCGGTTCAGTCTCTGTGCACGACCACATTTATTTGCCCACATTTATCAAATTCAGCCATGTGATTAATGCATGGCTCACTGGTGGGACACAGAATCTAGGGGTCCTTTTGCTATGTGATTGCCTGTCTTGGCATCATGTAAACACAGTCAAACCTCAAATCAACTTCAGAGAAAATTTTAAAATACAAAAATAAATCCAAAGGCAGTACATACCGTTGAGGTTTTTTCTATCTGCACATACGCAATTTTCGCAGCCAATTGTTTTGCAATCTGTTTAGTAGAACCTACAGCATCACCCCATACTTTCTGTCCAATTATGCATTTACAATGAAATCTAGGAGAAATGATGGAGAGTATTTACCTAAATATCGAGAAATAGTAAATCTAATTTATGATTTAAAAAAAACAAAACACTTATCAGCAAAGGCCTTAATATAACACTAATTTAATAGGTACATTTATGTTTCATATCTTGCATAATTTAAATCTTCAATAAGATGTGTGACCAATTTGTCAGAATAACTAGGACTGATTGACAGCTCAGCTTGCATTTTCCAGGCAACTTCTAATTCTTTGTTGCTTCATTCAAAGATCTGGCTTAAAAACTCGAGGTGGTGATTTATTTTAATTCCCTAAAGGTCCAAAGGTATGAAGGTAGAGATGGGAAAAAGATGACCCAGTGAATTTTTCAGAGATGCTCAAATGGGAAAGAAAAAGCCAGTAGAGAAAGTGGGGCTTCTACAGGAAAAACAATGAGTTTATAGCGTTTTGTATGAAATGGGCAAAACATGGATTTTGCTCTAACCTCAGCATTTTCTGTCCCCTGCTTATGTGCACAAAATCTTAAGAAAATCCTGATAGTGCAAAAACCCATGCTGATGTCCACACCTTCCTCATATCAGATGCAAGAACATTTGTGGTTAGGCCAGGATACTTGGACATTTATATAAGAACTATTTTTAAGGTGGCAAAGCAATGGACAAAGTAAGTATCATGGAGTTATTATATATTACTATAAAATTATTCCAGTATTATTTGCCATAAAGGAAAGAAAACACACCCAACAAGGATGAGTGTTCCCTTCTAGGCCCTAAAGGGAGAATTAGGGAGCCGGGCTGAATGACTTCAATCATTTCTATAGCTCCTATTTTCCCCAGGTACCACCTAAGAAGATTTCTGCTCTCTTTTAGGAATCTAACGTTAGAGCACTTAATTCACAGGAACCAAACAGGTGAGCTACAGAAAAATAAACTAGTCTCTGAATTTATTGAAACTGACACACAGAATTCACTTTTGACTATTTCGTTCCAAGGAATACTGTCACATTTTTCTCTTCCTAGTTCTCGACTAAAAGCCATCAGCATAAAAAGTCAAACATAAATAGCTAAATCAATTCAGAGGACAGTATCTTAAAGTGGTTGTTTGGACTATTTGCACTTAGATTTTTTTTTTTCTTCTCCCTTATTAAACTGGTTGGTTGCAGTGGAGAAACAATCTCCCTTGTGCTCATTTGTTTTTTGTTTTTCTCAGTCCAATCCATTATTTTTTTT